AGCATTTACAAAGAAACTTCAGATTGCGAACGTCCCCTTCCAGTATGGTGCGTAGGCGCTTTTGTATGTTTCCTCTCTACGGGATGTAATTTGCCGTTATTATTATTCAGTTTGAAGAGTGCTTGTTAATAAATTCTTGCATAATTATCATAAATTTAAATTTAAAATCCCTAGTCTTAGCTAATCTTTAAATACAAAAGCTCTGGCTCGCAACATAATCTCTCTTAAGATTATCGAAATATACAATGATATACTAGGTAATTAATTATACACTCAGACTTTTCAGGAACTTGAAATGGATTTTGACAAGTTCAAGTTAAAGCGCAACCAGCGACGGTTAAATGGCGGTGATGGTCTGCAGGGTGTACTGAATAGGTCTTAACCCACCCGTATAGTGGGTCTACTGAACTATGTGACGAAACATTCAACGTTTAATTTCACATTAGCCCAACCTGGTCCGTAAGGCGTTCAGGAGTTTAGAGTGCTGCTCATCTTCCAGCCATTCTTGTGTTTCATTTCATTTAGTTCCCAGTGGCTACTAGGCACAACACACCTAACATGCAAGCTGCTACCCGTTACAAAAATGTTGAGACACTCCGACAAAAAAACTGGGCATTCTTACTTGGCCTTACTTCAAATCACTGCTAGTCAGAAATCTGCCAGCTATAACACTCACCTCCTCCTCCCCTCCATTTAAAGTTGTTCCACCTAGTTTTGAGCTTAATGGTCTTGTATTTCTGGCAACTTTAATAAGGGGAGGAGGGGAGTCACAAACACAAGATCATGGCATGGGCAGGCCATTTAACACAGCGTCTTAAGTTTTTTTTGCAACTGGTTGTAGCATGTCGTCGTTTTCTTGTCATTTTACGGAGTGGAGCCTACTGGATTATAAAGCTTTCCATGGCATCCATCTAAAGGACACCAATGTCCTGCAATTCCTAGCTACAGACTCATACAAAAATATAGTTGGGACACTTCCACCCAACGCTGTCTTTTGTTTTTTACTTCTAACCTGTCTCCTCGTCTTCCCAATGGTGTTTCTCGCAATCAACTCGCCAAACCTTGTGCACCACTATTGGGAGTGCAAGACGACAGCAAAGTGTCCCAACACTGGTTTTGACTGAGACTGTAGCTCTTGTATTCACATCACGTTTTGAGGGGAGCCTGCTTACCTTTGTTGTTCGGTCAAAATGTTTAGCAGACGGCAACAACTCGTTGTTGACCAGGAGCTCAGCACAAGACATTGACTCGTTTAAATGCTCTGGTTCATAACGTTTTTTTTTTCGCTAAAATAGAGCGGCATTCATGTTTTGTCAAAGCGTTCTTTTGGAAGTAACAATGCGAATAATAAAGTAAGATCAATGTGTTGTATAATTCGTATACGCGAAATTCGAGGCTTAATCAAAACCGAGCACAATGGAGTTTAAAACCCGGTATGCTCACGCAATAAGCTAGTGCGAATAGCCCGAAACTCTTGCTTTAATTGCAGTTCTGCTTGAACGACCAATTCCAAAAAGGTTATATAAGAGGCCCTTTTACGTATTTGAATGTTACCCCGACGTCTAATCTGCGGAAACAAAGGTATCGTGCTTCAGTCTCGTACGTGGCCAGTATCATACGAACACTGTTAATAATAAAAAGGCTAACTCTTTTATGAAGCCGAAAAGCTCTTCAACTCATTAAAGTCAATCGTGCAATTGTCTAATCGAAACTCAATGGATGTTGGAGCTTGTTGAAGTGAGTAGAGCAATTCCG